GACATTACCGCTGTTTACCGCATACTTCCCGCTTTTCTGGGCTCTCTCAAAAATACAGGGTGCGCCAAAATTACGGAGACAACGCATGAGCAAACAATTTGAACTGATATTCACAGATGCTGTTTTCTTCTGTCCTAGTTTTGGTACTGTGGTGTAGAATTGTTTATGCTTACCTTGTTCAACCACCAAAATCTATGGTAGCTGCAGCGGTTGACTGATACTGACACCGTCCCTAAATCATTGGACTTCGACGTTGAGGGTTTTTGGCACGCGACAATTATCATCGTTTTGGTGTATACCCGAGCACTATCAATAGATGCTCCAAGTGGTACAGGGGACAAGGAGCTGAATGCAGTCATTCTGGATGAGAAGGGCGTGTTTCTGTGGCGACCACGAACAATCTAAGGATTGTGTGCGATAGAATTTGCAGGTAGTTGACGCGCTGGTTTCACTGGATGTCACGAGAGATAGGAATCAGGGGGGCTCTTTTGGACTTATCAGAGCCCATTGCTATCCTGATTATTCACTTTGAAAATCGTTGCTGGGCCTTCCATCAAGTAGGAGCTCCCGTTTACGAGGCAAGGGTGGTTCAGTACTAGTGCAGCATTGATGCAGAACCGATTTTTTCGACTTTGTCGGCTTAAACGGTGGTAGAACAGCATTTCAGATCTGAGCTCGATAGGGTACGCTGTCGGATCCGTTCTAGAAGCTGAGGCTTGCATAAAACACATTATGTCTAGGGATTCGTTGAAGAAACCGCTCTAAAATGAGCTTGACGAGTCCTACTCGCCACATTGCGTGCCACAGTCGATGGTTCCTCGATGTTTCTGAGGACCCGTATAAACACAAACCAAGGAATTTCAAAAATTGCATGGATGTCGACGATTCAGAATGGGACTGTGCACGTCACTGCATTTTTGTTTTCAAAGAATTGCACCTTGCTCATCCTAGGCAACTCGAAGTCGCTGTCTCCGTAATTTTGGCGCACCCTGTATCTTCCATGATATTCACCAGACCACCTCCGGTGCTGAACAGCACTTCGACTTTGATGGACTGAGAAAACAACCCAAAAAGTCGTTTCGTGGCTGAAGATGTTGGGTGCGAGAGACAAACCGACTACTCTTTGAAATTCTCAGGAAAGACTTTCTTGGGAAACTGCCTTTTGTGAAGGGACATTCTCTTCGTGCTTAGCCGACTCTGATAAAGCTGGAGTTTATTAGTCATAGCGCTTCTGCAGAGTTAGAACCACTGAGAAACAGCTCCATTCTGTATTACGTGTTATAAGATTTGGAAAAAAAACGGTACTGTTTCTTTTCTGCATGATTTTATGTCTGACTTACACAATACTCAGTATTTGAACTTGAATTAAGAAAAATATGTAAACACTGAGTAGTCGCATTCATAATGATGATGGAAACAAGAAAGCTTCCAAATATATGACGCGCCATTTATTCGAAAAAATGTGTTTACCTCAATTATGATTTTCAATTTCAGGATAATATCTTGCCTATCGTATTTTTCGCTTAATTCTGCATGTAACTCGTGAACTAGAGACAGCTGATGTTTATTGAACGCGCTGATCGAAAATAAAAAAGTTTTCAACTTTTGACCGCTACTGTACGTTGCAAATGCCAACGCAGAGCTCCTAATGCCACATCGAAGTATGAAGTTCTTCCTCCAAATCACTTACAAGAATTTCCAAGCGTCTGTGGAGTCCCATCTCTTTGTGTCTAATCTCCGCTTTCAAAATCGTTGTAGGAAAGTGTACATCATAAAGCGGCTACACAACAAACTTAAAGGAATCCTCCGCGGAAAATTCTTGCACTTCTTAACATGAATGTGTCAGTTGTGATCACTGGAAATAGCACACAAAGTTTCACGCATGAAGATTCGGTTTCTGAAGAGAAACAAACGTACAAAAACTACACTCTATGGACAATCGAAGGTAAAGGGCAGAGCCAAAGGCGAGGCATGGAAAGAAGTCCGCCTTGGGCGGCTACGTACCAGGCGACGCAATGAAAGATCGGGCCGAAGCGTGCGATTCTGTAGAGTGGAGACGATCGATAGTTATAGTTGGTCGATAGAATAGGATGCAGTAGAAGTGTGAGATGTTAATGCAATAAGTCAAAAGGCCAGAAAGAGTTTCTAGTGAAGCACTCCAAGAACAAAGTGGAAGCATTCCCGTCGCCAACATTTGTGACAGATGTGCGGCGGTACTTTGAAAAAAACTTTTCGGTTTTCCTAACTTTCAGCGAAACGAATGCAGTTTTTCTGTTCCATTCATTCTTATCGTGGATGGCAAGACTCAAGCCAGTGATTCATGGCTTAAATGGAGTTATTATTTGTCTGTGAAAGGATTCCTCCAAACTGAGTGTGTGATTTGATCTTGTCCGAGAAGCATTCTGCCATTACCCTAACATGCTCAATAAAGTTCTTTTTGACGACTGACGATGCAGGGTCAAACGTCTGTTGAAACATTTCAAACGAGGGAGTCGTACTCTACTTATGGAATGGGCAGAAAGTCGCAAACCCTGGGGCCCACGGCGGGAATCGTGGCGATATCGTCACTGGTAGGTGAATGGGAGAAGGGTACGGTGAAGAGAACATGAGCACTTGCCAAGAAATGTAATGAAGGATGAATCGAAGTTTAGCGCTCTCGTTATAATGTCCTGCAGATTGATGGGATGAAGCACGAGCTTGCTAGAGGCTACAAGGAGCATAACGAGCATCTCAGCTTTATGCAGTCTGAATGAATCTAGAACACATCTGTAGGTTAACACTTTCACCGATGCACGACAAAGATGGGAATGGCTAGCCTTAACTGTTCATAGCAGGAGGAAATAGACTTATAATGCCTTAGCAGCTTTGAACACGAAATGCTACAACATGCTGTGTTCAAAAGGAAATTTTGTTGCGCAACGCCTTCAAAGTCGTTTATCACAAGCCAAAAAGATTGTCTTGCATGGATTGCGGTGTATCAAGATCAAATATAAGAGTAAGGAAGTGCAGCGATATGAAAGGATTGGCTCCTCCTGAAAATAGATCTCAGCAAACGCATGAAGGCCAGGTCTGCAAACCGGCCGTCAGCTTTTTTTTGTTGACGACCTTTTTCATGAATCAGCGTTCTCATTCTCCTTATTCGCACCTATTTGGCACAAGCTGTTTACCTACACCTAGGTGGGCCAGGGAGATTTTTGCGAAAATTCGATTGAACGCGGCAGGGGTAGGTCATGATTCCCAATCATCTCATATAACTTCGTATCGATTCGCCTTCGCCTCTAATTCTTTAGCACTTTTCAAATATCACAGTATGCCATGGTTTGGCACTCTGTTTGTCTTAAATCGAAATTTTGGGAAGTTCTCTTTTGTTATTCCGAGTATGAGTCATGCGCGTCGTCGGTCGCTTTGGCATGTTTTCAAAATCTTGTCGCTGATGTTCCATGCACCCGACAGTTTTCTTTGTCTCACGCTCCTCCTTTGTCCCCTTCTTGAGAAACAAATTGGACACCAGCCTGCCCTTCTCAAAAAAGGCATTTTGACATGTACTATCTCAAAACCTTCTTTCTTTCAGTTACAATGTTGATCTTTCCAACGCGCCCGTTAAGTTTAAAGTTTGCCCCTAGGCCTAATGGCCTAAACATAACTATGTTTTACTATGATTAAATGTATCGCCTATCTTGTGACAGTCGACTTATCGCTGAGAGGAGCGTTACGGAATTGAATGAATAATGTTATAAGTACAAGTAAAGGGGTACCTCATGAGCAACATTTGGATAGATGAGTCTGAGAGAGGCCCCTGTCCTGGTTAGTCAGAGTCCCGTGGGCATTGCCTCAAGAAATTCACCATCATCGATCAGGGTTATGCGATCGCGGTCGTCCGCCGCGTGCCCCGTTCCGTGGACGTGGTTTGGTCACCACCAATCAAATGTCCGCTCAACTGCTGACTACGGAAGTCCGCGCGAGGACCTGGGCCTTCTTGTTTCTGCCACGCAATGCTAGGCCCTTATCTGAGCGCACAAACGTTTGGCATTGTGCATTTTCTTCGGACGAACTCTACTCTCATTATGAAAACCCTAATTGGACGCAGCGATTTGTCAGCTTCCCACTTCTGCAACGTCTTCGTTCAGCTTCGACGCTGTGTTAGGGTTCCCGGTCGACCATCAGTTTCCTGCCGTTCAACGGTAGTTGTTTCGTGTATCCGCACGTCACAATTCAACTTCAGTGGTTCTCCATGGCACGCTTTTTTCCTCCCTTTACGGGATTAGAGGTGGTAGGGCATCGCAAGTTGACTGTGCCTAACGTAGCACCTTTCGTTCTGTCAGCCAACTCCATTTGCTGCAGTTTTCTCCTTTAAGCGGCGAACTATCCCTCGTTCCGTTGCACCAGGTAGGGTTCGTCGCTTCTCCTTTATCTCTGGACACGCTCTTGGCCGTAAAGCTCGCTATTCTCATAAAGGTTAGTGAGCTTGTGACGTACTCGCATTCCAGAGCAGGGTCAAGCGAGGCGTTGAGGAAAATTTGGAAATACGACCCCCCCCCCACCACCCTCCGCCGGAGGCCGAAGTCCATGAAACAACCCTCTTCAAAAGCCGAACTATGAAAAGGTTGAAAAGCTTGTTTAATTCTCCCCCATAAAAAAGCCCTGCTACCCCACCGCCCACAAAAAAATTCGTTTAAGAAGTACAAAAGTGAAAAAGTCAAAGAATAATCATTATTGATGAGTCCCTACCAAACGAGCAAACGAGAAACAGACCAGAAAACGACAAACTAGCCACTAAAAATGGCATACTATGACAACATCTCTTCTTATTTATTTCCTCCACAAGACTTACCAAATTCTAGTACTACACAGATTGTGGTTCTCAATTTGCACGTAGCCCTTCAGTTGAAAGAAGCTTTTTAACCGCCTTCGCCAGCTGTGTGTTGACTGGACTTTGGCGTTGACCGTGGAGCAGCTTATTTACTATTGAAATTTGAACAAATATTCAAATGATTATAACTTTCTTCAAATATGACGAATTTTCAATCTGAAAGCAGATTTGGAAGTTTTGTGAAGAGCTTTTTCTAATCAGTACTGAAATTACAAAAATTTATAAGAAATAACAAATTTAGATCAAATAACGAGGAAAATTCGAGACGAGCACGAGTTTTTACACTTTCCGGAGCAATAACTTGCTTCATTTCCGTCAAATTCAAAAAGTTGATACGTCATACAAAACTAGAAGATTTTCTCTATCAAACGGTTGCTAAAGCAGCTTTATACGTCCAGTATTCGATTTTCTCTACCAAACCGTTGCTAAAGCAGCTTTATACGTCCAGTATTCAAAAAATGGCCACGTTGAGGATTTTTGCAAAATTAACGAGGAAAATTTGTGATGAGTGCGAGTTTTTTACTTCCTAAAGCCATAACTCCGTTCAAACTCATCCAATCCGAAAAGTAAATACGCCATCATAAACTAGAAGATTTGCTCTATCAAATGCTTACTAGAACTGCTCCAAACGTCCAGTATTAAAAAAACGGCTACGTTGAGGATTTTTGCACGAGTACCGCCGAAAGGTACTTTTTCGCTACATTGGCACTATTTCAACGGCTGTATATCCTTTTAAGGGCGATTATGTACTAAAGTAAGAGCAGATTTGGAATCACTGCTTTTCTCTTTCTAAGAAAAGTGATTGATTAGCGTTTCTCAACTTTAAAGGTTACATGTTTATAAATTTAACCCTGAAGAGTCCGTTAACGCAGTGTTGAATGGTGTACACCTCCCTGTAAATGCGCACGGACACTTTCAGAATTCTCTCGATTGTTCCTGAATTGAGGTTGTTTGTCCAAGGAGCCGTAGTTGAAGCGCGCGCAACAACTAGACCCTTTCTCGGATGCGCCGTGTACCTCACATCCCTTCAGATTCGGGGTCTTACTTGAAAGATGAAATATCTCTTGGAAAGCGTGCGAAATTCAGATTCTTTAACTTGTGTGGTGATAAAACACTGAAGTAACTAAGAATTACCGGACGCCTCAGAATCACGAAAATTTTGTGTGGGTGAAATATCATTTTCATTGGAAATCCTCTGGCCTGGCATCGACTCATCCTTGATATTTGTCTTCCGACGGTGATGATCCCACTGCATCAAAATGGCTCGATCTCTTCCACCCAGCGGGCCAATACGACCCCCCCCCTGCGACGTGTCGAGGATTCCTCAACGCACGCTTGACCCTGGCCAGAGATGTCACGCTCAGTACCATACCGTTACCATACAGGATAGTAAACACACGCTGGACCATATCCTAGCCGGGAGCCTCAGGTACTTCGACGACGTGACGGTCATCAGCGAGTCGCGGTTCAATATCGGGTCCGACCACAGGTTGCTCAGGGCAACGTTCAAAATAAGCGGAAAATTGGAGCGGCGGCTCAGGGCAATAGCCCAGCAGTCTAACATCAAGACGAAGGTCAATTCTGACATCGTCCGACTGCTAGCCCCCACGGTGTGCAAACCCACTAGAATATTCGCCACCGTTGACGACGAGTACGCAAACCTGTTGGCCGAGGTTGACCGCGTCGTTATAAAGGCCACAACACGCGTCACCTCTGAACCGCGACCGCGTCTGACTCCCGAGACATTAGAGCTGCTGAGGACGAGGAAAGCTAAAGTTGCTAGTATGAGCCACATCGAAAAAACCGTCCTTAATAAAGAAATCCGTGCCCGGGTAGAGCATGATTACAAGGAATACGCCGCCCGCAGAGCATGCGAAGCAGCCGAAGAATTGACAAGCGTCAAAAGGGCCTATCGGGAGATCAGACTGAAGACCACTTGCCCCGATTCTCTGGCCAGGCCTGACGGTACCGTAACATACAGCCAAGAGGAGATGGCCGAGCTGATTTGCAACTTTTACAGCAACCTCTTTGGCAGTCAGGTAAAGGTGGAGCCCACCGAGAAACGATGTGACGGATCAGACGAAGGTATTCCACCGATCCTACGAGCAGAAGTGCTAGCTGCTCTTGGCCAGATGAAGAAGGGCAAGGCACCGGGACCAGATCGTGTGAGAGTGGAGAGTCTCTCCATGCTGGCTGAGGAGATAGTGGACCCTCTCCGCGTGTTGTTCGACCGCATATTGCGCGAAGGAGTAATCCCGAGCGCTTGGAGGGGCTCTACTACGCTGCTCATTCACAAGAAAGGACCGCAGCACGATCTTAACAACTTCCGCCCAATATGTCTCCTGTCCCAGGTGTTGAAGGTCTTCTCCCGCCTTGTCCTCAACAGAATACGCCGTTGCATCGACGAATACATGAGTGTAGAACAAGCCGGGTTCCGTTCATGCTTCTCCACTATTGACCATATTCATGTAATATCACAGCTGACGGAACGTTGCCGCGAGTACCGCACCCCACTGTGTCTTCTGTTTATCGATTTCAAAAAGGCCTTCGACACAGTGGAGCTTGAGGCCGATGTCATAGTTTGCGAATCGAGCGATTCGCTAGCGAATCGCTGGATCCGAGCGTTGCGCCAGCGAATCGAACGTTGCACCAGCGAATCGAACTTTGCGCCAGCGAGTCGAACGATGTACCAGCGAGTCGAACTAGGTACCAGCGACTCAATAGTGGCGGGACCCAACGTTTAAAGGAAGCCCGCCACTTTCAAACAGTCCACTGTCACGTGACACTGTTTGAAAGTGGCGGGCTTCCTTTAAACGTTGGGTCCCGCCACTATTGAGTCGCTGGTACCTAGTTCGACTCGCTGGTACATCGTTCGACTCGCTGGCGCAAAGTTCGATTCGCTGGTGCAACGTTCGATTCGCTGGCGCAACGCTCGGATCCAGCGATTCGCTAGCGATTCGCAAACTATGACATCGCCAAGCAGTGTATACAACGCCATGCGCGAGTGCGGTATCCCCGAGCCCTATATTAGAATCACGCGGCAGTGCAACACGGACTGTTATACCGATATCAAACTCATAAAAACACCGGTCCGTGTTCAAATCCGGCGCGGCGTCAGACAAGGCGAGGTTACGTCCCCGAACTTGTTCGCTATTGCGCTCGAGAACATCATGAGGCGAATCTCGTTGCCCGGAGGAGTGAACATCGACGGCGTTCGCTTAACGCATCTCCTCTTCGCTGATGACTGTGTTCTGATAGGCGAGGACCCCGCCGACATTGCGCAATCCCTGAGCCTCATCAGGCAGGAAGCCGGCAAAATCGGACTACAAATTCATCCCGGCAAGACTCAGTGGATGCACAACGAACAAGTTCAGTACCAGCCGATCCTCCTAGAAGGCCAGGAGATCGAGCGAGTCTCCTCTTACGTATATCTCGGTAAAGCGGTCAACATGAATAACGATCTCACGCTCGAGATTAGCCGACGCCGCAGAGCGGGCTGGACCGCGTTCAATAAACTTCGAGATGTACTAACTTCTAAGCACGTCGACCCCGGGTCAAAGCTCACGTCTTCAACTCGCATGTTCTTCCCGCGATGACCTACGGGGCGGAGACGTGGAGCACCACAGTCTCTGAAGAGGAGAAACTCGCAGTCACTCAGCGAGCCATGGAGAGGGCCATGTGCGGGGTAACGCTCCGAGACCGCATACCCAATGACACCATCCGCGCTCGTACGATGGTGAAGGACGTCGTCGATGCCATCTATAATTCCAAGCGGAGGTGGGCCGGTCATGTGGCTAGACTTACCGATGATCGCTGGACGAAGAGAGTGACTGACTGGTACCCAAGGGGAAAAACAAGGCCCAGAGGCAGACCCCCACCAGATGGGCAGACCCTCTCGTGAAGATGTACGGCCAGTTGTGGCGCAGAAGAGCCCGAAGCAGAGCGACCTGGAAGATGTGCGACCTGCGTTTCTGGCGTGCCCGGGACGAATAGCGGTCGAGAAGTAAGAAGTAATGGAAGTAAGGTTACCAGTAAAAGCTGATTGACCATGTCGCGCAGGGCGCGCCCAGCCCACCCTACTGAGGCAGTTGTATCACTTGGAAGGAATTCTCTCTTTTCATTGGTGCCTTTCTCAATATCTTGACCTTTCGACGTTTCGGGTCTTCTCTTGTTGCTTAGTCGTTTTGCAGGGATAGCCCAGCCTTCTCATCACCTATATTGGTATTAGTTATCCGGAGCTTTGCTCAAAATAATGTGTTTGCAGCGGCCTCAATGCCATTGGCGATACCAACCCCCATTGATAACATCCTAGCCATCAGTCGTACCCTTACATCCCCTACGACCTGCGGGCCTAGGTGTCTCGAAAATTTATACCGATGTCCACAATGTTCTGCCCCCGCGAGCTGCCACCGCCGCTTTTTGTGGCTCCAGCTGTTTTCTGCTCTTCTCATGCCCGTTTGTTATTCACCAACTCTACGGAGACCTCTCGAATTGTTTAGAGGAACCAGCATCCAGTTGGCGGTACGATTCTTCTTGAAAAAGAAAACGGCTCCCTAATGGAACCCCCAGCTAATTTTAGCATTGGTGTTCTAGCCGCCAGTGACGCTTCCGCGGCTAATCGCTTTTCCTTGCAGACTTACCGTGCGTAGATCTATTCCGCGCGAAAGCGAACGACAAGCAAAAACATCAACTTAAGAACGGAAGGAATTAGACGATCACATAAACAAGCTTTTACAGGCCGGTCGGATAGTGGAAAGCGACACACCGTCAGTGCACAACAGTCCTCGTCAAAAAGAAGGATGTTTGCTTCGCGTGTGCGTGGACTTCCGTCTTCTCAACAACGTCACGATGCCGGACCACTACCCACTCCCGCTGATGGAGGACCTGCTCGGTAATTCAGCAAGACTCTATCTGAGTCCCAAGCGGAAATGGTAACCTATTGGACTTTCGCATCGGTCAGCGTCCTTCGCTTCTTCCGCGCAACCATTTACGGCAACGTGACTCGTACCTATGGTACCACAAACCTCTTACATTTTTAGTGCGTCCAGACGCATGATAACCCTGCTAACATAGATGAGAAGTCGAAAGATTGTCCATTTCGGAGCTGATATATTTTATGTGAGGAAATCGGAGATGTAGCACTGGATTATCAAAATAAATTCATAAAATATACATCAAAAACTCCTGGTTTTGAAATTAAAAGATGACTGCGGCAACCTCTTGTTACAGTAATTTTTGCCCACTCTAGAGACCGAGTCTTACAATTAGCTTCCGCCTCACATCCGCTTGACGAATCCACGCCAGGCGCTTCCAAAGCTGTTGCTCCCTCAAATGGGCTTAACGGAAGTGTTGCTCGAGTATCTTTCGAGGTTGATACTCGCTCTTCTGCTGGCACTGGTCCGTTGACTTTGAAATTCAAGTCTGGTGGCTTCTTCAATTTTTCCTACGCCAGCGTCGTTTCTCGTCTGCAGGCGGCAACCACCGCGGAATCAGCAGCAGCGGGTCCGTCCACTACCATCTGCTCCGGTACACCGTTACAGTCGTACACTTCCAGCCATCCACCTCACGGCGGCCCCTCGTGATCGCCTATCTGAATTTTCTCTAGAAGATCACACTCACCACCTTACTGGGAGTAATCGTGGGCAAATTACGCCTCCCTGAGGAACACGACGTTCCCGTCCAACCCGGAATTCAACACAGCCGCTTGAGCTGCATGACAGGGGCTAGTGGCCCGTAATGCCAAATTCTCGTATAACTTCGTATAATGTATGCTATACCGAACGCACTTCCCGGAAAGCATGAAAGTGTGGAAGCTGCAAAGAATGCTATCGTCGATTACATGAACAACATCGGCAGCGAGGCCAATGAAGTCAAGGACAAGCTTTAGGAAGTAGTGCCGAAAAATTTCGAGCTCGTCGACGAGACTGTCCTGAGAAAGGGAGCACGGTAAAAACACCTGAAGACCTCCCCACCCGGGAAGACATCAAGGATTTAAGTCAAGGAAGACATTATTTCCGAATTGGCAATTCACGAGAACATGCCGAGCATGACATCTTCTTGACTTCCCGCGGGATTCTGAAGAAAAAGAGCAGACCTCATCCGATAATAGATCTTTATATCTGAGAGAACTCGGGTTTTTTCAGGATGACCTTAGCGCATGGAAGGGCCGAATGCAAGCCACAATCGTCGTCACGCCGTGACGCTCTCCATCTCCCATTGTTTCCGCACGACAATTGGACAAGAATATCGATGTCAACTCGTCGGGACTTAAGGCATAGCCGCTGTCGCTCTTGAAGGGCAGAAATATAGAGATTATTGATCTCTATTATTTCTCAGTTGGGTCTGTGTTACTTTCATTAATCAGTCTTTCACTAGCATTACCTGGTACTAATAATTGCTTTTGTATTGCGTTTTCGACATGATGTTCATTATCTCCTATAATCATTGCCTGTACCCTCATCAGCTTTACTGTTAATCTATAATATATAGCCATTGTTGATGACTCATTTTTGTAATTTCTCTTAACACTATCCAAAGTGTGCAATCACGGCCTCTTTCTACGTACGTATACGCGCTGAAAGGCTCCTGCACGTACTGTAAAAGCATTCCTCCTTCATACTTTTCCGCCCGTCGCGCTCCTTTCTTAGCTTTATCGTACTATTTCCTGTGAACCGCGCAGCAATAATAAACCTGTGTTACATTCCTCCTCCGGCTACCTCTCTTTCAGATACCTGAGGAGTCTCTTCCCGTACAAAATTCAGCAACAGTCGAACGAACCATCCTCCGTCTATTATCGAGCTGATGACCCTGCAGCACAGTATTGCTTTTTGTCGCTCCTCGCAGCAGGTCATCGACGAAATCCTCGCAGGTCGACACGTCCTCACCAAGAACTTTCTGCCCGTCACATTTGAGAGCACGATGCCCTCCATCGTCTTTCCTGAAGTCCGGAGCCACTTTCCCGTGCAGTACCAGGTGGTCAACATGAGAGCCGCTTAAATCGTTGACCTCAAAGCGAAGTACTATTCAGCCCTGGACCGGACCGGCGTGAACCCCATCTCATCACGTTGGATCAGTACGCCACCAATGTGGTCACCAACACTTTTGGTTTCGATCGATCTGTCGTCTCCGTGAAAGACTTCGTATGGATATATTTGGTCGGGCCTACTCGAGCAGTCCTTCGCGGCCCTCCAAATGCTTTCAAGTAAGCTCGCATTCCTGAGGCCACAACACTGAATTCGCGTAACCCGTACTTCTTCCAAGTACGCGACTTTGTCTTTGTCACTCCCCGGGTGACGACTCAGCGGATGTGTGGCATCGTCATGTCCTTCTTGATTTATCACGAAGCTGTCAAGGGTCTGCGAATAGCCTCTAAAGGTATTCTAGAGGCAGTAGTCGTCTCTCCAACAGTCTGCGATTTTCTTCTCGGACAGGTCGATCAAGACGAGATCGTCGCGGTACACACTCGCCTCAACGTCTCCTGTTCGTTGCAGTTCTCCGAACTCCCAATTTCTCGTGACGCTCGAAAGAGGCTCTGCTCCTGCGTTTGAGATTCCCTGCCAGTCTACCCAAAAAAGGCCTACTTCAGCTCCGCGTCTTCAAACTCAATAAGAACGAGAAGATCTGGATAGCAGACTGAGCCGGCGGCTTCGGTGGTGACCACCTTAACACACTGGTATCTCAACTGTCATGACTTCCCAGTCATGATAAAGACTGGACACCTAAATACCCTAAGGCTAAGCCCCTGTTACAACAAACAAGTGCCGAGCCACGGCATATACATTTTGAATTTACCGCGTACAAACTACAACCAATTCCAAATTGCCATGCCCACCGGACCGCCTACTAGCACAGGTATATACAGGGGT